TATTATAATGTATGGTAGGAATTTCTTGTCTTGAAAATTAATCGATACTAGGTCCGGTTGTCTTGGTTGATATCCAAAGTAAAATCCTGATCGTAACTTACCTCTTGTTCATCCAAGGTCATATTTTGGTATGAGCTAGTTAAGTCATTACCATCAGTGACATGGTTGGAGTAATCTTCATCACTGGGTCCTAGTTGATCCTGAGTGTTTATTTGACTTGGCATGTAGAACAATTCTTGAGTAGCAAACTGTGGTTTTTCTGGCTTACCTGCCGTACGCATTGTAACGTCAGATGACACGGGCGTGGGAACCGGTGGTTTTGGAATATTAGGCTGGTTCCTAAAGTTTCCACTCCTAAAATTGCCTGAACCATTTGGTCTGAAATTACCTGATGATGGTCTATTCTTCCATGGCAACATGGATTGAAACCACTGCTGACGTTGCTCGGGGGTAAGGTTGTTTTGTTGAGGAACAAAATTCGGTTGGGGTATAAATGGGGTAACTGGTTGGTTACCGAAGTTAGTCTGTGCGAATGGATTTACCTGATTACGAAGGGGGTTACTATTAGGTTGAGTTTTAGGTAACTCCTTTGGTTTCGCTTGAGACGTTGAAGGATTAAAATAGCTTTGTCTATTATATGCAAGCCTAGCCTCCTCTTGCCTAGCCGTTATGATAGCTGCTTCGAAGGTGTCTGGTTTGGCTATCCTTACACCTAGAGACACGTGGAAGTCTAACTGGTTGACGTATTGTTCAATAACCATCTTCTCATAGTATGATTTGTTGCCGTGCTCACCTACAGAATAAAGGGTATCTAATAACTCACGAAGACGTTTACCGAAGGTCTCGGCATCTTCTGTCTTAGCTCTACGCACTCTAGTGAGCTCCTGCATAACCTGAATTTCATTTCGTGGTTCTCCTAAACGTCTAATTAACGCATTTTTAACGGCGATCCACGAATTAAGACTATCTTCATATGCTATTGCATCCAAGGCCGTACCACTGAGCCTACTCTTAATTAAACATATTAATGCTGGATGTGAACGATCTGCTTCACTAGTTAAATTTAATAGACATTCTACCTCTCTTATGTAATAGTTCAATAATCTAGGATTACCATCATATTTTGGCATTAAATCTGCAATAAGTTTATATGGTTTATAGTTCGCATCATAATCTCTGAGCGACATTGTACTTCTGTAACTTAACTGTCTAGTGGCACTCGGTGCGAAACAATGTAAGTAATTCTACACCTGAGTTTATTCTAAGAAATTACGAGTGGTTGCCTACTGCGATTATAGCTTATAGACAGACACTTATCAATATAATAAAATACACATATAACTAAGACGGGAAATAGAGCAAGGACACTTGGTAAAACGAGAGTACTTACCAAAATAGCCACTGCATCTCCTGTCGAGTCTCTTCTCAATCAGCGCAGCTTCCTCCAATTCTCCGGAAGATTTATCCCGATGATTATAAAGGTGTCCGACCGCACGATAGGTTCGTTGCGGATCGCGAAGGAACGATTTAAGAACCGTCACTCTTGTCCCGAAGAGGTATATTCGAAATTCGAGCGTCGCGAATCCTACCGACTGCGCCAGTTATGTTTCGGCGGTCGGGATTTTGATTAAAAAAAATATTTATTTATTAATTACAATTTAATTATATTAATTAGTCAATACAGGATGTTATTTAGCTGGTGATCGCGATTAGACTGGCTATCTAATGTCATTATACAATACAATTGTAAATTGAGTAAATGCTGAGTTGCATAAAGCCCTAGCTGCTATATCATCAAAAGGGATCGAAATAGAGGGTTACGATGAGTTAACTAGGGTCAAAATTTTTTAAAACCACCTTGCCCCTCTACTGCAGCTTGCGATGTATTGAGAATACGTACCTAAGTAAGTACAAACGCGCCATTGTATCATACAAATTTTATGAATAATAACGGAAAATCATAGCTTCTGGGTCAATTTTGACCCATGATACCAGTTTAAGGGTTTAAAGCTTTTATAAATACGTAAATTGGTTTCTTGTCGTAGTGGTCTGTGAATTGCTTTATTCATACATAGATAGAAGACACAGTTCAATGAAGGTTGAGATGTCCTTGTCAACTGCCTCTGTTACCAACAACCCATGAATCGATAATCTTGTTAACGCTACGGTAACTAGGCTAGAGATATTATGTAAGTACAAAAATAAGTAGGTACCTAGATAATCTCATATTATTGGCTTGTAACTTTAAGGGCTTCTCTTCGGGTTATTAATGTTTAAAATATTTCAGAATATCATGTTTTTGTTACGTTTACGTTTTTACTTTTGCTTAGTAATAAAAATAATACTTTAAATTTTTCCTATAGAATTAAATTTTTGTCAAAAAAAAATTGTGCGGAGAACACACGACTGGACCGTGGCTGAATACTACAACGCCTTTGCATAATCGTCTTTTATAATCATATGCATGGGGTACCAAATAGGGCGGGGAAATATAAAATCCTTTTAATCGAGTAACAATAGGATATGCAAATCAAATGTAACTTGGATTGCATCTTTAGTCCGGTGTCAGTGGTGAACAAGACGTGGTTGTAGATACTTCGATAAACAAATTGTGTAGAAGCGGGAGAGTTTGAAACGTAAAGAATAGTTCTGGTGAAGTTTAATTTATTATAAGGATTACAGAAAGGTACAGATTTTTTATATACTTAATTACTTATTCGAATATTTTTAAACACGAGAATACAGTGTGTCAAAATTATATGATTACTTGATAACTACATTTTTTAATTACCTAATTAAACTGAATGATTGAATACACAACATCTGATGAGAATGACATTACAGTTTAAATAATTATAATGGTGCCAACGTGTTTTTGTTGTATTGATAAACATTCGAATATTCTATTTTGTCGATATTAATGACATAATATGAAATTCTGTATTAATAACTTGCTTGATTTCATTTTTTTTTTGTATTTTTTGATATTTTTTTCGTTTTTTTTTTGTTGTGTAATTATTTATATTCACACAGCTTTTACTCGGGCTCGTTCATTCTAAGACGGGCGAAGTCTTCGAATACGATATTGTCTTCCTCCTCGTTAGTGTAAAGAGAGTTCTCATAGCGATGTCTTTCGATGGATTGCATTTTCTTCATCGCATTGAAGCGCTGACGTTCAACAGATCCTGAGAATTAGAACAAGTGTTAGCTTGCATTAAAAAGTCTAAGGTGATTTTTATACCTTGAAAGTAACTACCTTCAGCCGGGTGAAGCAACTTGAAAGGCACATCAGTAACGAGTTCTCCACCAAGAGTTCCACAGTTCAGTTTGACCCTTACAGAGTAAGAGACAACGATACCAATGGCATCAGCTGGGCATTTCCCTTCAGGAACGAGAGTAGAACTGGCCAAATTAACATCATCCTCCTTCAGATGTCCATCCAACGCCACGCCTGTTCAATAAATATATTTTAAACTATCATAAAACAAAGTAAGTTTATAAGAGTGAAAGTTGTTAAGCACATACCACGAATATCCTTATTGCTACGAGCCAAAGGAACCAAGTAGAATGTTTTGGACAGACTGGCCCCAGGTGTGACGGGGCATCCTTCACGGCTTTCCAAGGAGGCAACGTGGCGGCTGAACTGAGAGTTGATCATAGTAATCTCGACGTGCTGGACAACCATTGCGCGAATGTTACGAACAGACTTCCTGGAGTTATTGGAAACGATGACGTTAGCAGCAACCTTCTCTCCATGGTAGTAAATTTCTCTATCCAAAGTAACCTCCAAGTTGATTTTTCCATTGCTGAAAGTAAATCCTTTGCTCACGAGAGAGCTTGGGAGACGACGTCCGCGGGATGTTGGTGCGTGTTGCAACTGTAAAAATCAACGAAATCAAATAAAGTTTAAGATTGATGATCAATTATGTCTGAGTTGTCTTTAAGTTACCTTTTTGATGGCAAGGGTGACTGAGCTCCTCTTGTGGCTCTTCTGGTCTTCTTGTTCAGCCACATACGTCCTGACGCAGTATTCTACGCCCATGGGCTTGCCTTGATCTTCTTCAGAAGGCTGCAGTGTAACCTGAATGCGAAAGACTTTATTAGAATCTATTATTCCCTTTCAAACTCAAAAGCATTTATTTGAATTAATCCATAATATGGTACTTTTGAAACATTAACAAATAATAAAATAAATAATAGTCTGTCAGTCTGTTCATCAGTGATGCCAGGTGCTTGCTCCAAAAAGTAAGAACGAGAAAGAAACTCTAATCGTTACTCTTTTAAAAAACAGAAATGTAGTAGCAGCTGATGTAATTTACCGAGCTTGGGGCCAATTCAGGGAAGTTGAAAGTAAAAGGGAAAGCGTGGGGTCCAAGCTTCTTCAATAACTTCTCCTGAACGGGAGTCAGTTCCATTTTGGAGTTGATCATTGGGACAACTTGTTCTTGGCCGATAACCATTTCTTTGGAGAACTTCAATCCCATCACTTCATCTTCCTCCCTACCATAGCGGTACGTGGTTACGAGCTACAAAACACATAAGTGGTAATTAAATCATTGGTTGTACATAACGACACACGCACACACACACTGCACTTTTTATATTTCACTGAACACTGCACCTGACTATAAACTTTTCTTCCTTTCAGGTATTCCGTATCCACTACCACCACTCCATCTACGGGATCGCAGTAATCCATATGATCAATGAAGTCACGCTTGCCAAGGTAAACCGTAACTTTTCCATTTGGAGTAGTTTTTTTAAATACTTTTACTGCAACCACAAACGCCAAAGCAAAGTAGTCCAACATCTTGTTGGATTTTTTGTGAAGGGATGATTAAAGGGAAGTTATATGAAATAACTATATTCAAGTTGTTATTTGAATCAGCTGAGTGTGGAGGTTTTGAGGTGTTCACCAGAAATGATCATGTTAAGGAAATGTCGCTTATATATTGGTGACATGTGAGGTTTCATGCAGAACACGTTAACCGGCTAATTGGATTTCGTTCGTAGGCGTACTAATAAGATTTAAGCTATATGACGCATACCTACTCACATTGAAATCGATTTGATGTCCCCTCACTAAGTTCGGCTAAGAAATCGTTGAATTAGCGAACGTCAAAATTGACGTTTGTTTTGACAGTTTCCAAAGGTTATGAAGTGTTAAATGAGGATTAAAATATTATTTACGCAGCGAAAACTAATAGGATTCTGATAGGATTTGACCCAAATACACAAAGTGGTATATTTACAGTTTTATGTAAAGCAATGTGACGTATTGGGATCAAAAATCGTAAGTTATAATGACGATGTTTCTATGGCTTTTTGTTACATATTTTACAAAATGTTTTTTTATTTTTATTTTGCAGTTATACTATCAGCATGCCAACTTTCTTGACTCCTGGCCGGCACGGCTACAGTGTTCGGTTTTCCCGGACAAGGCCGGATACCTTGGCTGTTGCGACCAGCCAGTATTATGGTCTTGCAGGAGGTGGAACTCTATTTTTCTTAGAGCTAGCTCCTGATGGAAGCACCATCATCGAAGTTCAGAAACTAGAGTGGAGCGATGGGCTATTTGATGTGGTAAGTTTTATTCTATTACCTAAAATCGGGTCCATAGGTTACTTAATAGATAACAGTTTATTACTTTAACTCTTGCCTTGAATTTACATTACAATCATGTCATAAAAAGATAAGAAGGTACTCCCCCTAATTCATTTCCTAATTAGAACACTAACAACAATACAACATTTGAGAAACCATTGTTCTCAGTAGTCTAATAAAATTATCTTTACTCATATTTCATTCATTTTTAAAGCAACATAGATGAAATGTTACTCCAATCAGGGTATCTATTCTTAGCCCTAAAGGTAAACAAGAATATATTCATAATATAAGTCCTGTTCACAAAAAGAAGCCCTTCAAGTGAAACCTAGGTACATCGGAGTATTTGCATCATCATATAATTGGCTTACTTTGGTGTGTTGTCATTTATTTATTTATAGACAATTGACTTAAGTTCCTGGTTAATTTAAGTGTAGGATTTATCATGTAATTGTTGGTTACATTTGACACTTTGTAATTCAATTAATTTAAGAGTTAGAAGTCTTATAAGAAAGATTTTTGATAGTAAACATTGAAAAGCAAAAGTGTATTATGTATTGTCTTAAATTTTTATGCATAGCAACAGAATTCCACTAGGCAATGTGTTGATAATTCACAATAAATAGTTTAATTTCTAGCTAACTTTGATTTTCATGCTTCCATTATGTCTTTTTAAATTGACCTACTTGTAACATTTACATTAATCAATAATATTGTTAAAAGAATAGTAGATTAGTGGGATAGCTTGAGAGTCAACTAAATTGTAATAAGTAGATATGAAATGTAGAACAAGTATTTTGTTATCTTTTGAGTATGTTTAGTACCTAGAGGCTAAATATTTATTGTTATTATTACTAATTGAATTACGTATAAGTTTACATAACATCATCATGTCTTTTACCCTCAAAGGGATCGGCAGAGGTGCACATTGCGGCACTTAATGGCACTGTACAATGTACCTTACACCCACTTTTCACTGTTTATGTTATGAGTCCCATGTAGTAGGGGGTGAGCCTATTGCCATATACCGGGCACATTTCCAGACTCCATGCTACTACTGAGATTTGTACAAACCCAGTAATACTTTGCCCGACCTGGAAATCGAACTCGAGACTCCTTGCCCAGCAGTCGCATTTGCGACCACTCGGCCAATGAGGCAGTCTCGGCCAATGAGGCAACTTATAAGTTTTCATTGATTTTATTATATTAAGTTGCATTTGTGAAGTCTACAATTTCAAAAGATTTACAAATGCTTATGCTTCATTTACAGACATGGTCAGGGACCACAGAGAGTGCAGCAGCGTGTGGTGCAGGCGACGGAGCCGTCATAGTGTGGAGGGTTGGTTGTGCGGCCCCTCTGCGGGTATTGAGGGCACATACCAGTGAGGTGTGCTCCGTAGACTGGCCAAGGACACATCTGTTGAGCGCTAGCTGGGATACTACTATTAAATTGGTAAGTAGCTTGTTTATTTAATGGATTTTAGGTACAATATTATGTAGTTATTTAGAATCTATACAGATAAATAAAATTGCAGTGTCTGTTTGTTATATCTGTGGCATGCTGGCCACTTCCAATAGGGAAACCTATTTATGTTTGTCTTTTGTTTTGGAAAAATATAGGAGTGTGTTTCTGCCTAGTTTGTTTAATTCACACTATGAATAATTATTGCATTACATATTGATATATTATATGAAATTCTTTTAGAAGTTTTTATAATTATTTGGAGCATTTATTACAATGAATTTCTTTGAAAACATAACGTTTAGAAAGACACCGAAGACACGTACCAAATCAACAGAGTTATCATGCGATGATGAGAACAGTTTAGTCAATACGACACTAGATGGCACCTCTAATAGCTTACCAAACATATCTGCCGAAGAAAATGTACTACAAATAATAGAATTAAAACAAAAAATTGATGAATTGAACATGCAATTAAATTCTGCGCACGAAGAAATTAATAATTTATCCATCGAAAACAGTGAACTTAAAAAAACAATAAGCGACATGAACTCCAAACATGAGCTCCTTAAAAAAGCAACTAGAAAACTGACTCAGGACATAGGCACTCCAAATAAAAATCCTAAGATATCGACTCCTCGTTTTAAAGGGTCCCAGAAGGAAAAATTAAGTGTCTCATCCATGTTGGATTTACATGAACCAACTATAATTACTACCCCTACAACCACCAAACCTTCAAAAACACAACCAATATCGGTACAAGAACAAAAAGTACATAGTGATAGCAATAAAAAACCCACACGTACAAGAAACAAAATATGTATCGTCAGTACTAATAAAAGAAATAAAATTCTATCGATAGCTGAAGAGACATTTCAAAATTTCCAATTATGTCATTATGTGTCCCCAAACTGCGGAACACTGCAACTAATCAATAACCTGGATAAAAAATTGCACAACTACACAATGCATGACTTCTGCGTAATCATGATTGGAGAGGAAGACTTCCGAACAACCAAAAACTATGTTAATATAGTTATAGAACTTAGGGAAACAATTAAAAAAATACAACATACAAACGTTATACTATGTGTTCCAACATTCAAACTAAGTAACTACTCAACAATGTTCAATTGGCGCATAGAAACTTTCAATAATTTACTGCATCTGGACTTAGAAACATATGAATACGTAACAGTTCTGGATTCTAATTTAGATTTGTCATATGACTTAAGCATGTTTTCTAAGTATAATAGAAAAATTAACGATCAAGGCATGAGGAATATTTTCCAAAACTTACTGTTAATCATAGATGGCTTCTTTACTCATTCGGAAAACCTGATAACTAGTACAGGAAATACTTCTTCAATTAGTAATTTTTTTCTTTGATTACGTAAACATATTACATCAAAATATAGCCGGTCTCATAAATAAAACTGACCTTTTCACAATTCATATTCAGGAACTGTTAAATAAACATATTTCTGTAGATATTATATGTGTTACCGAACATTTCATAATGTCTGGACAGGAAGAATTATTGCTTATTCCAAACTATAAGTTAGCGGCATGTTATGCTCGGCCTAATAAAAAACGTGGCGGAGCTTGCATCTTAGTCAAAAACCATTTAGTTTACAATGAACTACCTGACATAGTGAGATGTTCGATACCTAGAGTTATAGAATGCTGTGCTATTGAACTACCTTTACAAAAATTAATAGTTGTATGTGTCTATAGACCGCCAATGTTCTGCAACCTGAGCAAATTTTATGAAAATTTAAATACTGTATTAAAAAGGACATGTTTAAAGAAAAGTATAAAAGTAATATTATGCGGAGACTTTAATATAGATAGATTAAAAAACAATAGGATTACGTTAGACTTCGAATGCTTTCTTGCAAGCTACAACCTCAAACTAGAAATTAACCAACCTACTCGTTTCAGCAGTAATACTTGCTTGGACAACTTTGCCCACAACTGTAAACATAACTGTCAATCGGAAGTAATAGACTTCGGCTTATCAGATCATACAGCCCAATTATTAAATGTAAAAGTCATTAAGTCTTGTCAAATTAAATATTGGAAAACATTAAGACGTGATGCTTCTTCTGAAAACCTAATGAAATTTAATTCCTATCTTCAGAGTTTATCCTTTTGTAATGTATATGCCACAGAAGATCCCAATAAGTCCTATGACAATTTTCTAGAAATATTTCTACTTCTGCATGATCTATGTTTCCCCTATAAAGTAGTCACAATCAGATCTGAAAAGAGGATTAAATGGTTGTCCCGAGGCATACGTGTATGCAGCAAAAGGCAGCGACAACTACTTTGGCAACAAAGAATGAAACCTACGTCTGAAAACAAAGCTACATTTAAAAACTACTCAAAAAGATTTAAAAAAATCATTAGACTGACTCAAAAAGCTCAAAATAATTACTTAATCAATAGTTCCAGTAATAAATGTAAAACAACATGGCAAGTTATAAATAACTCAAAAACAACAAGTGAACCTATATTACAAATAAAAAAAGGAGAAAAATTTATAACACATCCTAAAGAAATAGCAGAGTCATTCAACAATTACTTTATTGATCAAATTTCAGATATACGTAAACCTACAACTTCAAATAATATAATAAATATAAACAGCAATCCCCACTCCATTTTCATGCAACCCACAGGCCCCCAAGATGTAGTTCGCATTATAAAATCTTTAAAAAACAAAAAAAGTGTTGGTTATGACGGGATTTCCATTAAGGTTATTAAATTTGTTTCTGAGTGCATAGCTCCTCCTTTAGCACATATAATTAACGTTAGCATTTACAGCGGTACGTTTCCGGAAAGCCTCAAGACAGTTATTGTAAAACCGCTTTTTAAAAAGAATTGCAAAGAAGATATGTCAAACTATAGACCCATTGCTTTGATACCTGTTTTCTCAAAAATAATAGAAAAAATAATCTATGAAAGTCTTTACAAATTTTTGGAACGCTGCGATATATTATGCGATGAACAGAAGGGCTTTAGGAAAAATAAAAATATTAATATGGCAATTTTCGATTTCCTCTTTAAAATACTGCCAATTGTAGATGTGAAGACACCCATATGTGCAATTTATGCTGATATGTCCAAAGCGTTTGATTATGTTAATCACGATATCCTTCTTAAGAAACTTCAAGCATACGGCATTCGAGGAAACGCCCTGAATTTGATAAAATCTTATCTATTTAACCGTAAACAATGTACCGAGGTATCCAGGATATGTCTAAAAACAAAAAATGACTTAAAATACAGATCTTCATATAGAGTAATCAAATACGGCGTCCCACAAGGCAGCGTCCTTGGCCCTTTACTGTTTCTAGTTTATATAAATGACCTACCACGCCAAACACCAAATCCAATGGTATTATTTGCAGATGACAGCACATCTTTAATAAAGTGTACCCATAAACAAAATTATGAACAAGATATTTATAATACACTCAGTTCTCTAATAAATTGGCTTAATTCAAATAATCTAATAATTAATCTTCAAAAGACTAAAGTCATGCATTTTTACCAAAGAATCCCCCCTAATAACATGGATATAAACCATAATGGTCAAGCTGTCGGCACAGTGGACGTTGCAAAATTTTTGGGAATATTAATTGATAGCCAACTCACATGGAAGGCTCAAGCAGACAGTATATGTAAGAGATTGAGTACATCTGCTTACATGCTGCACAATTTGTCCAAAAAGGTGGATATATCAAGCGTGTTGGTCGCCTACCACGGACTAGTTATTTCACTGTTAAGGTTCGGCGTAATATTCTGGGGCAATTGTGGCGAGAAAGAAAGTATTTTTAAAGCTCAAAAACGATGCATTAGAGCTATGTTTGACCTAAAAGTAACTGACAGCTGTCTACCTATATTTCAGTCTCATAAACTGTTAACCTTCCCATGTCTTTATATACTGGAATTATGTCTATTTGTTAAAACAAATTCGCACTTGTTCACCACCTTGAAAGAAACTCGAAATAGAACAATAAGCATTAGATCTCAATACAAAAATCTTTTAAGCACGGGTGTTTTTAAAACTGCTCTTTTAAGGAAAAGTGTTATTTGTATGGCACCACTTGTTTATAATAAGTTACCGAATAATATCAAGGAACAATCACTAACTAAATTTAAGAAGCATGTTACAGAATTACTTTTGTACAAGTGTTATTATTCAGTACAAGAGTTCTTAGATGATAAGTTTTGATAAATTATTTTAAAATGTATATTTGCATGCCAATTAAGGTAGAATGTACAAGGAACCTTAAAATTTTGTAACACCTAATAATTTGTACCTACATTCATAGCAAATAAATGATCTATTCTATTCTATTCTATTCTATATTGATATACTTTTTCAATTATTGTCTGTCTATCTGTTTATTTGTACTGGCTAATCTCTGGAATGGCTGGACCGATTGTGCAAGACTTCTATTGGCAGGTAGCTGATGTACTAAGGAGTAACATTTACAACACCTTTATTTACTTTTTTTTTTTTTGGAAAATTGAAACACAAAAAAAAGCTATGTTCTAAATTCATATTCAATGTAGACTAAGGCGTGGGCAACATTTTGAATTACATATGATATGTTTCACTAAGAAAATATGAAATACTTTAAATTGGAACTTTAGGAGTGGGTAGTCCAATGTTAGGTTTATTTATGTATGCTAAATGTAGTGTTTGTAAAATATAGAATACTACAAAGAGTCATAAATCCAACCTCCGTTTTATTTGGACAGAATTTTGTTTCAGAATATGTTAAGTGAATATGTAATAAAAATTCATTTTGACCATTTCAGTGGGACCCTGAATCTGAAGCCTGCCTCAGTACTTTCGTGGGTCATTCTCAGCTGGTTTACACAGCAGCTTTCTCCCCTCATTCGCCTGCCACCTTCGCCTCTGTGTCAGGAGATGGTCACCTCAAGTTGTGGACTTGTACTGAACCTTCTAGACCTGCTGCAGTTGTCAAGGCTCATGATGCTGAGGTAATTTAAACCTTATGTTCTCTTGATGAGATATGTTTTACTGTTGAGTAGCTTTATTTTTTTTTGTATTGTTGTTTTAAATCTAGGTACTTTTTAGTGTGCATCAGAGCACTCTAAAGGAAGTCTTCTTTTTTATATTATGTGTTATTTAATCCAGCTTAGAGAGTTGTTATTGACATTGAACTACGACTTTTCTAGCAGATTATAGTATAGAATTTCTCTACATACATTTTTATATTCTTGTAGGTGTTGTCCTGTGATTGGAGTAGAACGGAGTCACATGCTCTTGCCACAGCTGGTTCTGATGGTCTTATCCGAGGCTGGGACCTGCGGAGACTGACATCACCCATGTTTACACTCAAAGGTAATAAACAATTACAAATTATAAGTCTAGGTTTCCTCACAATGTTTTTCCTTCACCGCTTGAGAGTGGTCTAAATAATTTTGGAAAGTACATATAACTCAGAAAATGTGACATTGGTACTTGTCGGTGGTAGGTTTCGAACTCGCAACCACATGCATATGTTATCAGTCCCATGTAATAGGGGGTGAGCCTATTGCTTTATAGTCATATTATAAGTAATCATTTTAATGATAGATATTTCTTGTATTATTTTAAGGATGCGAATGTGCAGTAAGAAGAGTACAGTTTTCCCCTCACGCACCTTCCATATTGGCGGCTGGATCCTACGATTTTACGACAAGGTAAGTTAACTTTACATCTTCTGGATTTGTTCTTTGAGTCATTGTATACTATATTGAGTGATCGAGTGAAAAATAGTGTTATTAGAGAAAAGTGTGGATTGAAAGATGATGTAGTAACATGGATTGAAAAGGGAATGTTACGCTGGTTTGAACATGTAGAAAAGATGGATGAAAGTAGAGTAACAAAAGAAGTATACAGAGCGGATATGAATGGGGCCGTCGGTAGAGGGCGCCCTAGACGGAGATATAGTGACCAGATTGGCGATATATTAAAGAAGGGTCAAATTAAGAGTATCCTTAACCAACGAGCATGCATGAGAAGATTGATTACTGTTGATGAAGCGAAAGAGGTGTGTAGGAATCGTAGTAATTGGCGTTTCATAGTCTCTGCCTACCCCCATGGGAGACAGGCGTGAAGTTATGTATGTAATTAAATACTCTTTTTCTGTAGGTACATTATAATTTAAATCCATTATGTATGAAGTCCAACTTCATTAATGTCTATTTCTTATTTTCATCAGGATATGGGACCTCAAACGTGGCTGCGAGCCTCTAGAAACGATACGACATCACTCTGAGTTCACATACGGCTTGGACTGGAACGCGCTGAGGCCTCATCAGATCGCGGACTGTGGGTGGGACTCACTAGTCCACGTCTTCACGCCCCGGTCTTTGGCCTGAGACTGTAGTCAATGTAAGTAGATCATCCTAGAATTTACATCCTAATTCTATCTGGATTTATATATTTTTTTTAATTATTGAGACCAGTCGTAAGTTACAACTAGAACATAATTTATAGAGCTGGGAAGCGCGATTATTCTAGGCCCATAGTTAGTTCAGAAAATTGTAAATTTTTTGTTTTTTTTTTTTCCATTAGACATTAGTATTGTTGATGTAAATGTATTGGTATAATTAGTTAATCTAAAACTGTCTGAATTTATTGTTTTACAGTATTATTCGATATTTGAATTAAAAAAATATTGTTTGCCTTTTGTCAAACATAAGAAATCGGTTCAATATAATTATTAATTATTTATTCTACACTAAATGTATTTTCTCTACAATTATGTTTATGTGAGTTTTTCAATCATGTTCCAGGATCCATTGGAACGTCTGTGATTAAATAGAGTGTGTGTGGAGGAATCGTGCCAAACCATTGTAGTGTTTATTGCGAAGACAATCAGGGTTATAATCGCTTGCAAGCGTTCACTCGGTGCAGGTAACGGTGAACAGGGATATTGTGGTTTTTGGTGATAGACAAGATGTGTATTGTAAATTATTCTTTGTTACTATTGTAGTAAGGTAGTGGTTTGTTTGAAGTGTCTATGTTGTATTTTAACATTCCTATTGGCTATTCTGTGGAGCTTGTCATTACAATTATTTGTTTATTCTGATGTTGTTTCAGAATTATTGAGGAAAATATTCATAGTAGTGCTCGACGGAGGATTGGTTTTAGAAAATTCCATAATGCAGAGATTTCAATAATGATCAAAGTCGTTAAGTCCAGACTATGCATAATTAAGTAAAGAATATTCTTTACCAAAACCTCGAATGTGATGCAGACTCGTCACTTGATCTCATAATTTTTAATGGATACAACTTTTGCTTTATCTACTGCCGATATATAGCCTCTGAGGCCCTTGTTCTCATTGCGATAAGGCTCACCTCAGTGGGTGTTACATTGTACATACATATGTAGTATGTAGGACTCAATATATTTTTTTTGTTAAAGGACATGATCTTATGTTTATGCATTTGGACTTATTGGTAAATATTGTGATATTGTTTAGTAAACTCTTTTTTCAATGTTCCCCATACATTGTATGGTGCGTTCATATTTGACACATACGCCATTAGGCAGTGCTTTTAGTAATTAATAACTAAACTACTTATAATTATTACATCATGTATAAATAACTATGCAGACTGATTCTAATACAGTGCATTTTAATTTAGGCTTTATTTTTACTCACTGACAGTTAATAATGGCTTGTACTTATTCGTTACACTTATAACTTTTTGTGTTTTGATTTTTTTATATTAGTGTATAAGCATATTATTATAATTTAATTGTGATGGTGATACAGTTTCCTTTGAATTTTCAATATAGTTTATGATATTTATGTTATTTAAATACCTATGTGATGAACGAAGGTAATTCTTTTATACCAATGGAAGTGATAAATAAATAAAACGAAACGAAATATTTCTATAGTGCATAAAATATGTCTCGTATGTCAGCAACATTTGATGCACGTTGCACCAACACAAATACCATGCCGCGCGTCATGTTGCGTTGCAATGCCGATGTTGCATTGCAATATCGATGTTGCGTTTCAATGCCGATGTTGCGTTGAAATGCCGATGTTGCGTTGCAATGCCGATGTTGCGTCGCAATGCCGATGTTACGTTGCAATGCCGATGTTGCGTTGCCATATCGCTAGAAGTTGTGTAAAACTGCGGAATGTGTTGCGCGTCAATTATTTGTTGCATAGTAGTAATAAAGGCTCGCCTTTATCCTATACAACACAATTTTTAAATGAATTACTGAATGGACTATATAGGAGCTCCCTAGTGGGGATTTACTAATAAATTTGATAATGTCTTTATTATATTAGCAATTTATTGCGTATAGTTTCGTCTTATGTTTTTTTAGAAACTGCAATCGATATGCTGCTCTCGATACTTTAATCGCAATCGAATTATTATCGATTTATATTAGTGTTTTTTCTATATTTATATTTTGTATATTCAATTGTAAATATTCAGTTTGTATATATTTTATACTTACTAACTATTGTATGATATTTCTGAATTGAAAATGTACCAATCTATTATATTGTCTAGCTTGTTGTTATTGAATATTGTATAGTATTCACTTATCTTTATTCCTGATGAGAAAAGCCTTGATTTTGTGAGTTTAAACAACTTCTAATACTGTAAAGGTCAATATTTATTTATGACTCCATTATTAAGTACTTGTATTACTTTCTGAAAAGCTGAGGAACTTTATATGTGTTACCTATTACAGGTAAATTAATATGAATGAAATATATTACTTAATACTTACTATAAATTAAGAAACTGTAAAATAATTGCTTTCAATTTTATATAAATGTAATCATGGAACAACAAAATAGCTTGATAGAATTTCAACAACCTATATAATAAGCTTGTGAAACTGGAACACCCTGTTTTTCATATGGTTCGTCATCAACTATGAAAATACACAGTTGAAATCTTTTGCTACAGACTAATTCGTAACAAATAAAACAGAATAACGATTAAAATTGCTAAGATTTTTATTTAACTTATTGGTAAGCTATTTTATTACAATACATTGTCAAATATTAAAAAAAATGCTATGAATCGCGCTTGCTATGAACGTGTTTACAGAAATCAAGTCAAAAGACTACGACTATATTAGATTAAAAAACTTAAAACAACGACATCTATTGAAAACTTCAAGTACTAATTAGAAACAACTTGAGCGCTTGCAACCTCAAACTTACAACAGCGACATCTAGTGACAACTAGTATACATTGTGAGTGCTTAACTTGAGCCTTCTCAATCTCCCTTCTATTGCGGATAACATGTAATAAACTGACTTTAAATTAGTCTTGTCGTTTTTACAAATATCTGTTAGGCTTATTGCTGGGGAGAGTATGCAGCAAGACATGTGCCTTGTGGGCTTGCAATAAGGGTGTTTAATCGTCTGGCTAGCTAAAGCGGCGCGACCGCTCGGTTTCATTGTGCAAGCTTCGACTTTGTACACTGGTAAGCAAGGAGTTTGTACTGGTTCCTCCACAGGTTGCGCTAGGTGTCTCGTCACTGTTAATAAAAATTAGAGTAATAGAGAGTTATCTTAAAAATGTCTAGGTATACTTATTTGGATTGGAGTTTAAATCAATCAGTCACATACATAACATCACGCCCGAAGGCAGAGGTGCACATTACGGCAATTAATGCCAATACAATGTAACACCCACTTTTCACTATTTATGTTATGATGTAATGGGGGGTGAGTCTATTGACATATACCGGGCACAATTCCAGACTCCGTGCTACTACAGAGAATTAAAAAAAAAACAGGTTATTATGCCCCCACCCGGCAGTCGCACTTGAGACCACTTGGTCAACGAGGCAATCAATCAGTCAATCATCAAAATATGTTTCGCATCAAAACTAAGGGTTGCCCTCAAACTGTGAGTTTGTATCTACTCACAGATCATGCGATAGGTTTCATTAAATTATTTCTTAAATTTTAATTATAAAAATATAGGTAACGTAAAATGGGGTGCATTGGGATCGAGAGGTGAATAGAGACAAAATAAGAGCGAATAGATATTGGGAAATTCTTCATAGTATCGATTCACCCCTCTTCTGTCTCTATTCACCTCTCGATCCCTATTCACCCCTATTTTAGCATACTTTGGAAATTGGCATTCCAACTGTATGAGCAGTGAATTGACCAGTACTGATAACCTAACCAGTGGCCTCCTATTGTTAAATAATAGGCCTTCTCTATATATTAAGGATTATCATAGTCTCCACCCTTGGCAGACGAGCTGGAGATCACAAATAAAGTGTACGTACAGTTATTTTTGACACGATCAAATTGTTTCGTAAGCAAGCCGCTGTAGTAACGACATGATGTAACTAGGTGACTCCGTAGGTATTCATCAAGACCTGAAAAAGTATAAAATTAGCTTTAAAGCCATTATGAATGGAGATGGTTGCTTTTTAGCCGTATGTTCTGATAGCAGAGGATAGATGGCGGTAGTTATCTAATGCATAACGTATCAATTCGTATTTGACATTCCCTGTTACCATTTTTGTTTATGCCATATCGGTCCTAGATAATAATATAGTTGCTGTACAGATTTCACTATAAGGTTTATGTGTGTGTGAATGTATTATTTAAATATACACATATATATATAATTACAATGTACTAACTGCCACTAACGACTTCGTACTCACTAGTAGGTTTTTCGCTCCCTTGAGAATTTTGAGCAATTCTCTATTTTTTTTTTATACTTTATAGGTCGACGTTTGACCACCATCTCGCCTGATGGTAAGCGATGATGTGGCCAACGATGGAGCACGCCTACCTATGAGCAACCTGTTCATTCGGGACTTGAAGACACCCAAGTCATATTTGACGGGAAACATAGCCTCTGGCAAGGAATTTCAATTCTATTAGTGCTCCCCTACAATCCCCAAGGAACATAGAGGTACTACTGGTCATGAAGCTGAAACATATGCCATGTTTCAGCTTCATGACCAGTAGTTTCAGCTGTACCTCTGTCAGTCATTCACTCAGTAACGGAAGCGTGTTATGTAATTAATATAATAATATAGATACATCTGTGTACGTGCTTACCTTCTTTAGCATCATCTGCAACGTTGAGAAAACTCGGATGAGTGAGAGCTTTTTCGTCGTTTTTAGTGACGCGGTATAATGTGCAGACTGAAATGATTGTAATTATAAATACAAAAACCATTTGTTTCTATGCTAATAATGACTGCCTCGTTGGCCGAGTGGGCGCAAGTGCGACTGCTGGGCAAGAGGTCTCGGGTTCGATTCCCTGGTCGGGCAAATTATTACTGGGTTTTTTAAAAATCTCAGTAGTAGCACGGAGTCTGGAATTGTGCCCGGTATATGGCAGTAGGCTCACCCCCTGTTACACGGGACTCATAACATAAATAGTGAAAAGTGAGTGTTACATTGTAAAATGGCATAATGTGCACCTCTGCCAACCCCTTCGGGGATATAAGGCGTGATGTTATGTATGTTTTTTTTTATAGCATAAGCCGGTAAACGAGCAGACGTATCATCTGATGGTAAGCAATCTGCGCCGCCCATGGACACCCGAAACACCAAGGCGTTACAAGTGCGTTACCGGCCTTTTAGGAATTGGGAATTTGAGGATTGTGGAGGATTCGGGGATTCGGGAGACGGGGACCAGGGAGGGGGGTAATTGGGCCTCCGGTAACTTCACTCACACGACGAAAGACAACGCAAGCGTTGTTTCACGTCGGTTTTCTGTGAGGCCGTGGTATCACTCCGGTCGAGCCGGCCCATTCGTGCCGAAGCATGGCTCTCCCACACTTAAAGTAGGTACAGTAGTAAAATAATTTTATCTGGAATATGAGCCCCGTCATCGCTTGAAACTATAAAGAGTTATTGTGATACAATATTTAATGTTAAACTAACGGTTATTCCCATGAGTGCCTCTATCGATGCACGAACTCTCGTGCCCCGGGAGACTGCAGGGACGGCCGTCTGAAGTAACCACGCCTGCTGACCTTACGTCGGGAACCTTTGCCGCTTCGACCTCTAGATGGAATAAAGAGAAATCTAAGACTTATTTTTAATAATATTCAGTATTTTTATAGTACTTAGGTAAATCTAAAGTATAAAAAAAAAAACAGCCGAACATAGTAACCTCCTCCTTTTTTTTAAAGACGGTAAAAATAGAGAAGAACATTAAATTACTCGTTAATAACCAGTTAATCCAACTGACTCGAAACTGATGAATTACTGTATTCTGTAAATTATTGAAAAAAGCGAAAACCGAGACAGTATCTTACACCCGTACCTAAATATAGACATTACGAATTCAAACGACGACACTCGTTGGCAACCCTTTGTCAAGCTGTACCCAAATCAAACAGAATTTTCATGAAAGTTCAGGAAAGTATAATAAACTTGTATTTTTTCTTTTTTTTTAAGTGATGAAAATCATCGAATGACTGCTCCCGCCTGGGGAGGCGGGAGGAACTGTCAGACTCTTACTGACTAAAAACCACCCCGTTCCTTCTCCTGCACGTCGAGCCGGAGCCCAATACGTATACAACGCTTTCTATACATACCTACAGATAAATAAAATTGGAGTGTCTGTTTGTAATGTTAAAATAATCGCTTTTGAATATAATAAATACGATGTACAAACTAAAATAACATATATAATATATATATATATTATACATATTTACATATATATATATATACCTTTATATATTTACATCCTACAACCCTTTTGGCGTCACGCACGTCGCGCAACATTACGACGTCCCCCAGTTCCCCTTAATTTTTTTAATATGTCTTGATGAATATTGCTTAGTTATTCGATTTCTAACTTTGTAGGATACGTCATTTTCCGATAATTTTATTTTTCACGATATTCTTCTTGCAGTCATGCTGCAACATTTTTGAACCCCAAACAATGGTGATAACAAATTGG